GGACCTTGTGTTGTAGCTATGAACGGACCGATTTAGTTGGAAATAATTTTGGAATGTATTTGGGACGAGCCCCTTTAAGAATTTAAACATAAATGTTGCAACAGCCATTTCATAAAGTTGAAAAACATTAAGTGATGCAGTTTTTAGAAAGAGTTGTTTAGTTGGGTAAAGATAATGGACTTTGCATATTATGCGTAGGGCTTTCTTTTGTAGTTTGTAGATTTTGTCTAAGTATGTAGTGTGGGTGGATCCCTAGGCCTCGAAACCATACGTGATAATGGGAACTATTAGGGATTTATAAATGGTAAGTAATACATTAAATGGCATACTGTATTTAAGTTTATTAGTAATTTATAAAAAATAAACATTTTGATAGAGTACGAGTTTACAGCCCTTTTGTGATCTTGGGTCACATATGGAACACATACTCAGCTCCCTGGGGAGAATTTCATAATGCAATGAAAAGCAATGAGAACCTCGTCCATACATGTGCGTCCGTGCGTCTGTGACGATGACGCAATCGAATTGGTCGAAAGTGTATAAAGAAGCAAACTTAATGTTATGAATTTTTGAATTCATGTAATATTGGTCATGTAATTGTGCCCAACTCAGTGGCACCGACAGGATTCCCCGACGAAGGGGCCAAGGTCCTTGACGGGCAGATTCCATCAACAAGAGAAAAGTGGACGTGGCCGGAAGTCGCTCAAAATCTTTCGAAAGTGGTCCGGGGGGGGGGTGGCGAATCCCCCAAAAGTTTGACAATTTAGGGGTTTCACAGACTTACTTAATCGATTTTAGAGCCTACTATTATGTATTATGTAAAAAATAGATATATTTGTTTTCGCCCCGACGAATTGTGGTTTTTATTTCTCCCAGACGGGAGAGGGTTGTAGTCCACTAGGCCCCACTCCCCTCCCGTAGCTCCGCCACTGGCCCTATTGCTTGAAAACATTGTTGGATAATATAAGTAATGCTTGAGAACCTTATTACCCGTCTCCATACTAACCTCACTAACTCTAGTTAATGTACCAAAAATGCAACGAAATCGGTTTAGATTAGAGGCCTTGTTACTGTATATTCAGTATTTCTATTCTACAACATATCCAATTTTTATAAAATATTGCCAAAAAAAATGTAACCAAAGAAAATTTCCTGGACTATTAGGCTGGTGGATGTTGTAGAGTAATTATGATATTTCATATTGATTTACATTATTAAAACAAGAAACATAAAAAGCTGTGGATGAACTAACATCAACAAAATAAATAGAAAACAATATTTAAATTACAAAGTTTTTATTCAATACTGCATTTCAGGAAAATTAATTGTAATAAACTAAACTCTGTCCACACTATCAAATTTTCTTTGACAAAATACTGTTGTATGCACATATATGGTCATGATGTGCCCATATATGGTCATGATGTGTCTATATATGGTCATGATGTGCCCATATATGGTCATGATGTGCAGGGGCGGATTTAGGTGGTGGGGGGGGGGCGGCCCGGCACCGCACCCCCCCCCCCAAAAAAAGAAAGAAAAAGAAAAAAACGATAGCCCAGAACGCCTCAAATGTTATTTTCGGGCGTCTAAAACACAGAAATTTCGCGGGGGCATGCCCCCGGACCTCCTATTCCAGTGTTGTCTCGATCGCCCCAAATTTCGGCCCCCCCTTTTGGACATCTCTGGATCCGCCCCTGATTTGTCTATATATGGTCATGATGTGCCCATATATAGTCATGATGTGTCTATATATGGTCGTGATGTGCCCAGTCATGATGTGCCTATATATGGTCATGATGTGCCCATATATAGTCATGATATGCCTATATGTGACCCGAGACCACAAAAGGGCTGTAAACTCGCATCACCAGGTTTCGAGAAAAAGGGCCAAATAGACAGTATAACATGTAATTTGAGTAAAATGTGATTATGTCATGTTTGGGTTCAATATTTCAACTATAAACCCTAAAATTTAGTAATTTTATGAAGGCCACGAGAAACGTATATAAATTCACCAACTTTCAAACCGCCATACTTAGATTCCAAACAACTTATTAACCTGCACAAAATACAGGCCCCCAACTAGATAAATGAAAACTATCGGATAATAATAAGTTTATGAGTACTCGTATGCTTATGTATGTGATTTCAGAATAAACAAACAGTATAGTTATAAAATAGTATAATGGTCACAGAGCCAGGTTAGACCTACTGAGAACATTTCGGTTCTTTGCAATAAAGTAAATCTAAAACGTATTTATGAAGTCATTCAAAATCGTGTAAAAAATATTTGAACTATTTAAAGTATGCTCCGAACGTATTTGTAGTGCATCGTACTGTGGTACAACTTACGTAGAAAAAGTATAATACATACTCCAAGTATTGAAATACACGCCATCGTGGGATTCAATATTTCGACATTAATTATGTCATCATCCTGATGATGACATAATTAATGTCGAAATATTGAATCCCAACACGATGGCGTGTATTTCAATACTTGGAGTATGTATTATACTTTCTTATCTGAGATTAATCAGTGGACCTTTCGGTTTTTGGAAAACTTACGTAAATGTATACCTAAATGAAGGAAACAGCCTTGAATTAATTCAAAGAATACTAAACTGGTTCATGACCTGTTGGAGATTTGGAAAACTAGAACATGGAGGATAATAGAGAACAATCCTTTTGCCCTCCGGCAGTGAAGCGAATCAGAGATGATATAGGTTGCGGTTGAGTACATGTTAAGAGACTAGTTGTGGTTATTGAAACTTTGTAAAATATTGACGTCAACAGAACAATCATCTGCACTATTTTCAGAGATGTGAAACTCGCTAGAGCGCTGGAGATTAAGAAATATAAAGTTAATATTATGAACGTATGCATAGGAAGAATATTTACAATTGACTGAAGTTTACTGCTAATGGACTTTAATGATATAATAATATTCTATACATCTGTATTCACATATTTATATATATGTATATGTTGGTGTGGATATATACACATATCCACACCCACATATTACACATAAACATATATAGGGATATGCCTGATCATATACATTAATGGATCGCTCACAAGTATACTGAGATTTACATACAGATGTGTAGGACAAATAGTAGTAGTCAATGCATAGTCATTCGACCGTTGCTTTGTAATATACGATTACAGCTACAGCTTATGTATTGAGCACTATATCTAAATTTTAATAATAATATTATTAAAGAATCTCTATTGAGATCCAGCGGGCCGCCATTGATGCACGGTAGAGATTGCATCTTTAGATCTCCGATCTTGTTCACAAATTCACGGACTAGTGCTGTCTCGTAAGAATTTCGTAGGACGCGTTAACAATGACAAAGTATTCTCTGCATCTACTGGAACCGAGCCACATAGCTTGTATTCCACTATTTGCATTCACACCTGGGCTGTGTATATATTGCCTTGGTTTGGTTCTGTAATCACTAGTGGTCGTTGGACTAGTTTGGGCCCTACCTAAGCTGGTCGAACGTTTCGTTTGGGTCTATACCCTAGCTGCACTGATGAAGCCTGGAAGGCCGAAACGGATCCGTCTGCAGATATTGGGATTCCTTCCAGTGGATGCTTAGTTTATTTTGTCATTCTGATCGGATTTTCTCTACTGTTCCGTTTTAATTATA